TTAGATCCCAAACCTGTTGAGCATTTCCCAATCCTAATTCAGTTGACATCTGTGCTTGACATCTGTGCTAGGAAGAGCTCACTATATAACTAATGTTTTGGGGGGGGATTTTCCCCCACAGTGGTTTATAAAAAGGCTGCTGAGCCAGTGATGTCATTGCTAAATTTGTGATTCTGCCTGGCAACAACTACTATCTTTATAAATTGGCTCGTCTTTCCTGCAGATTCTTCACAGAAGAATGTATGACTCGGGTGAGATGATACTCGGGGTATCATCTCACAGCATTTTACCAAAATGTGACTTCACAACTAGCACTAGGACCGAGCTTCATTTGCTCAGATTGCAACTAAAATTGCAACTTTTTTTTTTGCTTTGCTTATATAATGAGTTAACTGTATAGTGTTTACCATCTTCCATTAACTACTGATTGGTAAAATATCTGTAATAGGTTTATTTAACTGTGGTTTTAAAAAAAAATGAGATTAACCGCTAATATAGATGAATAGAAAAGAACAATTATTAATAACAAGAATACCTGGCATTTAATAAAAATGTGTACTGTATAATGGGCATAATTTATCCAGTTAACCTATCATGAATAGATGACTGGCATTACATCATCATCATATGGCTCTTTCAGAGTTATGGACGAGTTAAAAAAAAAGTTAAAAGCTTGTCACTGTTCAAAATTAAGGGAGCGCTTTTATAACTGTTGCTCAAGGTTTGTAAATGTATTCAGATGATGAAGTACAAAGGAGACGTGATACACTGAGATTCTTACATAAAGACAAAAACCAAAGTTCTTCCACAGGTCATGTTTGTGACATTACCAGACAGTCATCTGACATGTATTAAAGTACTCTGAGTGAATGGGGAGAGATTTTCAACATTAGTTTCTTTCGTTACATAAAACCTGCATGTATTGAATCACAAGTCACGACTCGTTACAAAAAAAGTCGATCTTTTATTATATCTATAAATAAATATTTTATATTTATAATTGATATTTCAACTATGCATTTTCACATTACTGCAGTTTCATTAACAGATTAATTAAAAGCATTACCACGATGACCATCTCTGCTTATTCTGCTACAGCACACAAAAAACGAGGTAAAACTGACCTGTGGGCATCATCTGACACAACCAACGTCGAAAAGGAATATGGTCGAGGCATGTATCGCCTCTACCGTATTTGACAGCTGATCTGTTATGCTTTGGATGCAAAATAGTCCCTCTTAGTTAGGGTGTGCCACAAGGCTCAATTTCGGGTCCAGTCTTGTTTGCACGTCACATGTTGACACTGGGGTCTATTTTTTCCCAGCATAACCTTTTATTTCACTGATTTGCACATGACTTGCAGATTTGACTTTGTGAGTAAATACATTGACAGTGCTCTGGATCCTTTATCTTCCCATTATAAGACAAATGTTAAAAACCTCATTGTGTACCTTGATGGTTACTTTAAACTGTGTAGGCAGGTATGCAGCAGTCCATTTTCCCCATCACTTTGACATGAGCCCAGGTTTGTTCTACAAAAGTGAAACATTTTAGTAAAACCTACAAGCTTTTTCAGGTGTTGGGGAGTTTAGCACAGGCCACAGTTTTCAGGTGGCCACCAATCCTCTTAACAAAGTTCCACTTTTAATTTTGTGTAAAGGTTAGAGTGTACAGCGTCCAGATGGACAACTGTGGTTTTATGATGAAGAGAGGGCAGAGCGGGTGCAGGTAAAAGGGGGATGCTAAGAGGCACAATAGGTGAGGCTGATTACAGCACTTTCGGACGATGTTACAGGCAAAAGGCACTTCAACCGACACGACGAGTGTAAAAAGCACAGACCAAAAGTTCACATTAAGCACAACATTAGCGTGTATGCTCTTAGACACTGACACATATGCACTCGCACACACGCACATAAAATGCAGAAACACAGTGCCACCAGTACACAACCTTTCAGCCACTCATTCAAAAGGTGGTCCAAACCCTTCTGGAAGCACACGTGAAAAAGCATTTTATCATTTTCCCAGCGAGGCAGTATTCAACATGCAAAAACTGCACTGACTTTTCATACTTCTCACATCTCGTTAGTGCTCCACATGCAGAAAGCAAATGCAATGCTTGGCAATCTGTCTGAACAGCTAGTCAGGCCAGACTGTTAGTTAAGCATTTGTTGAGTCTTAATCATGCAAACACCGAGCTTACAGAGAGAGATGTGACAAGTTAAAAGCAATCTGAATTCTTGCTGATAATTAACTAGTAAGCCATCCAACTCTTCCTCAGCCAGCTAGTGAAGGTTTATTTATATGTCTGATGTTGAACAATGATTTTGAAAACGTATTCATTTAATCCTTCTAACTGTAGAGATTACTTGTTGCTTAACAGGACACTGATGACTTTGCAATGACTTGTAACTTGCAGCATGACTGCACATTTTCATTAGTCTTAGCAGTTACTTTAAACCAAAAGGACCATTGCAATCAACACGTGATATGTTATATGTTATAATGATATAAAACCCAAGGTTAATTGAAATATGAGTGACTACACAAGTCAAGTTTAAAAATGCATTACACCCAAGATCCTTTTAATATTCTCTCCTGATTATTTCTGCGTCCTGAGGAGACAGGGGCAAGCATGACTCTAAATACTGGAGTCATAATACTGCTAATACCTGCTGCTTTATGAAAGACCACTGATGAATGTCTGCCTCAATACATTAACAACAACCAAACACTTAATGGTTGCAGGGCTGTTGTGATTCAAATGACTTAGTGTGCACATTGATAATACTAGAAGGAGCCAAGAGTTTAGCGTTGCCTGGAAGTTGCCTGTAGTGTTGATTGCTTTAACTCTTTCCCCTATAAAGACGACCTCCCCTGTATCCTTCATGATCAATTTTGACAGCTCAGTATGTATATCGATACAGATGTGGTTTGACAACCTCTAGAATAGTTTCTAGAGGATCCTGACCTCAGTCCAACACAAGAGTGGAGACCACGAACCAGTCCATCATCAGTTTCTGACCTCACAAATCCACTTCTGGAACAATGTCCAGAAATTCCCATAAACACTCTTCTAAACCACGTGGAAAGCCTTCCCAGAAGAGTTTGGCCGACATAAAAAAACCCTATGGATTAAGAACAGGATGTCCCTCAAGTTTATATGTGTGTGAAGACGGATGAGGGAATACTTCTGGCAATATAGTGCATGACAGAATCAACGCAATCACACTTCTTTGTGATTGTGGACAAAAATGAACTTGATATACAGTGGGGCAAAAAAGTATTTAGTCAGCCACCGATTGTGCAAGTTCCCCCACTTAAAATGATGACAGAGGTCAGTAATTTGTAATTTGCACCAGAGGTACAACTGTGAGAGACAGAATGTGAAAAAAAAATCCATGAATCCACATGGTAGGATTTGTAAAGAATTTATTCGTAAATCAGGGTGGAAAATAAGTATTTGGTCACCTCAAACAAGGAAAATCTCTGGCTCTCACAGACCTGTAACGTCTTCTGTAAGAAGCTTTTCTGTCCCCCACTTGTTACCTGTATGAATGGCACCTGTTTGAACTCATCATCTGTATAAAAGACACCTGTCCACAGCCTCAAACAGTCAGACTCCAAACTCCGCCATGGCCAAGACCAAAGAGCTTTCGAAGGACACCAGGAAAAGTATTGTAGACCTGCACCAGACTGGGAAGAGTGAATCTACAATAGGCAAGCAGCTTGGTGTGAAAAAATCAACTGTGGGAGCAATCATCAGAAAATGGAAGACATACAAGACCACTGATAATCTCCCTCGATCTGGGGCTCCACGCAGGATCTCATCCCGTGGGGTCAAAATGATCATGAGAACGGTGAGCAAAGATCCCAGAACCACACGGGGGGACCTGGTGAATGACCTGCAGAGAGCTGGGACCAAAGTAACAAAGGTCACCATCAGTAACACACTACAACGGCAGGGAATCAAATCCCGCAGTGCCAGACGTGTTCCACTGCTGAAGCCAGTGCATGTCCAGGCCCGTCTGAAGTTTGCCAGAGAGCACATGGATGATACAGCAGAGGATTGGGAGAATGTCATGTGGTCAGATGAAACCAAAGTAGAACTTTGTGGTATAAACTCAACTCGTCGTGTTTGGAGGAAGAAGAATACTGAGTTGCATCCCAAGAACACCATACCTACTGTGAAGCATGGGGGTGGAAACATCATGCTATGGGGCTGTTTTTCTGCCAAGGGGACAGGACGACTGATCCGTGTTAAGGACAGAATGAATGGGGCCATGTATCGTGAGATTTTGAGCCAAAACCTCCTTCCATCAGTGAGAACTTTGAAGATGAAACGAGGCTGGGTCTTCCAACATGACAATGATCCAAAACACACCGCCCGGGCAACAAAGGAGTGGCTCCGTAAGAAGCATTTGAAAGTCCTGGAGTGGCCTAGCCAGTCTCCAGACCTCAACCCCATAGAAAATCTGTGGCGGGAGTTGAAAGTCCGTGTTGCTCGGCGACAGCCCCAAAACATCACTGCTCTCGAGAAGATCTGCATGGAGGAATGGGCCAAAATACCAGCTACTGTGTGTGCAAACCTGGTAAAGACCTATAGTAAACGTTTGACCTCTGTTATTGCTAACAAAGGTTATGTTACAAAGTATTGAGTTGTATTTTTGTTATTGACCAAATACTTATTTTCCACCCTGATTTACGAATAAATTCTTTACAAATCCTACCATGTGGATTCATGGATTTTTTTTTCACATTCTGTCTCTCACAGTTGAAGTGTACCTCTGGTGCAAATTACTGACCTCTGTCATCATTTTAGGTGGGGGAACTTGCACAATCGGTGGCTGACTAAATACTTTTTTGCCCCACTGTATTTATTCCACTGGAAAATCCACAAAACAAAGCAACTTTTACAGCAGCAATAACTTTAACCAGAAATGAGTTGATGTGACTGTGGCAACTTAAAATCAATTGTAAGCATGGAGTCAAACGCTTACCTCTCGCCGCCGTGACGCCCAGCAGCTCTGTTTGATCTTCCAAACTACGGCGGCCACCAGGAGCAGGGACAGGAAGCAGCTGTGGGTGGAAAAGACAGAGGAAGAGATGAGTCCAAAATATATTAAAAAAAGAAATAAAAACAGATAAATGAAGCGATGAGAAGACAAAACCTATAAGCTTTTGTCTTCTCATCAAAAGCTATAAGGATGGTTTGATGTTAACTTTATAGGAAAGAAGTATTTGACTACGAGTTTTATTTTCTGTCACCGATAAATATATTAACAAACAGATTTTTGACATCAAACATATACATGTGTGCATTTTAAACTGACAGCAAGTAGGGGAGGAAAATAAAGCAAAAATAAAACGAGGTGATGCCAGCCCACACTGAACAGCATTAAAGAGCGACAGGTCTGAAACTCGAAGGGTAACATTAATTATCATAAGCGATGAATCTGCCACAATATGCACAACCTTTGAAGTCAATTTGACACGTCACTGCAGCCTTTTCCATCTGTACTGGAAATCCAGGAAAACTGCTTGACAAATATGGGCAGCTGACAAAGTTACACAAATTTTCATTTTACTGGAATTAGTCCTTTTTTTCAAGATCAAAAGAATCAAAACGATACATTCTCAGCTATAGAAAAAGAGCTGATGATGTCACTTCTTAACGGGATACAAAGTGATCGTGCTAAACGTCAAAAGAAACAAGCTAAAAAACAAAAGGTTAGCAAAAAAAAAATGGATGTACACTTTGCGCTTTTCTTCAGATTGTTTAGGAGGGTGGTCACACATGATGATTTTCTGCTTAAATACTTTTAAACAACACACACACACACAGACGGTCTTCAACCACCATTCCATTTTATGCCCTCGAGCTCCAAGTGTTGGCATCAAGCACCATCTTTGTCATCCTGTTATGTTTCTGTTCTGTTTTACTCTACACTCGCTTCCTTTCATTCTTCAGCACTTTGTGAAATGTTTTTTCATGTTTTTTCTTGAACACATAATGTGTTTTTCTTGGTTTATTTCAAGAACCGCCCTCCCCCCTCAACACACGCGCACACAAACACACACAAATAAAATATACAAAGAATCAAAACGCTTAGCGCTATTTACGCTCTACAGAAAAACACCTTGAGGTGATGATGATTGTGGTGACATGTCTGGGTGACATGGTTTGTTAGCATCAGCGTGTGTGTGCGCGTCTGCTCTCCCTGGCTTCCAGACGTGTACTTAGACAAGATGGAGTGAGTGGGTGTGCGCGCGCGCACGTGTAAACACATCAGGGACAACATCTTTAGCACTCAGCTTCACTCTCAGCCTGTCACGGCTCTTGCTGATCTTCAGTCAAAGCTATCAGAAGTACGATGGCAAAATGCCTAAATATGAGTGATTCGTGACACAGTTTCCTCCAGGACGGGAGAAAAAGACAAAAAAAACCCATCTAGCCTTAAGAAAAGAGATACGTGAGATTAAATATTAAGTCTCATGTAATTTATTTTCATATATGGGTCAATTTAAAAGTCCACATAGGTTAGAACTTTTAAAAAAAGGAGCATACTCTGGTGTTTTGTCCTAGCTAAAGGCATTTCTATCAGAGACACAAAGCTGGCAAGCTTCATGGCACTATGTGTCACATCTAATTTAAAAATACAGAACAGTACAAAGTAAGTGAAGCCGTGTTTCTAGTTTACACCGTGGCATATCGGCCTCCAGGTCTCTATGTACTGCAGTATTCAACACAAGACTGAGTCCTCAATGATTAATGGGCTCAGAGCTAACTGTCTGAAAGACTGAAAACTCCTGGCTTTGACTTTCATAAATACATTTATGCTTTATTGTCTCAAGTGTAGTTTTTTTTGCTAGTGTTTATCGCATAAAGAATATTTGTGAATAAACTTTCTGGGCTTTGAAGTGGATTTAATTAGTGCACATTGAAGCGTAACTTCTTCAGACACAGGGCCTTCCAGTCAGACCCCTCGCAGGGTTTTCTCCAACGTTCTACCACTTTTTCCATCTAAATGCCTTTGCCTATTTTAATAGTGGCTGTGAAGCGTCAGATCTTCATTCATCGCTCCCGACCCCATCCGAGCCCCCGCCCACCCTGTGTGACTCTTTAAAGTGCCATTTATTTAAAAAAAGAAGAAGAAAAAAAGATTCCCTTATCTCTCTGGGCTGAAGAAGCCCCTTAAGAGATCCATCCGTTCAGCCATCTTATTGATCTGGCTTCCTGCTCATTGCTTTAAAAGCAACACGGTGCTGATGAATGACTTGCATGAATAGATATCGGCTTCACATCAAAGGCTTCCCTGCTCAGCAGGGTGGGAGGGAAAAGGAGAGAGAAACAAAGGACAAGAAGAGAAGGAAAGACAATGATGAAGAAAATGGACAGCGATGGTGAAAGACAACGTGAAACACAGACAGATTGGAAAGTGTAAGCTGAAGTCTAAACAATGGTATAAGTTTAGAGTTAAGGAGGAGAAAATGGAGCAAGAGACAAAGACTGAAGGAATCGAAAGTAACACCGGAGAGACAAACACTAAGAGAAGCAGACGGAGACCGACACAGAGAAATGTGCTTCATTTGATCTCAACCTCTGCAAGGGATGCTGGGAAAGTTAGTCAAGCTTCAGCTCCCACCTCAACCCATACGTCACACCAGCATCTCTCACTTTCAATGAAAATAGAAAAGAATATTCACCAGCAGATGCTGCCTCACCAAAGCCACCTGTGACAATCGCACTTCACCTTCACTAAAGTCTCAATAAAAGCAACTCTGAGCCAACGGATTACGGATTTCGGGGGTTATATTTATGCGAATTCCTGTACAGTTAGAAGATGGTGATCTAAACGGAGCATCTGTTTGCCTTTGTGTAGCAGACTCCAGCAATACCCTTAACAAAATGACACAAAGTACCGAACACATGAAAAACAAAACAAAACATCAGACAACTGATAGTGGGGTAAAGTTAACCCTACTAAGCTACAGATACAAATTTACATTACTGCACCCTTCAGGTTCAACGGTGCACACATACACATTACGTACAAGGAAGTTTATGTTGCCCTAACAACACAGTTGCATTAACATTACTGTTTCTTGTGTCGAGATTAATTCAAATCAGCGCAGATTGCTACTTCCTGTGAGATCTGTCTCGGTTATTTTCATGCTTTTTAAGAGCACCGAGCGAGCCAGGTAAAGCAGGTTAAAGAGAATCACTCTGATGGCATGTTCAAGGGAGGTTCCCTCTACTGAAAAATACCTAATGGGGAAAAGATCTAAATCAACTTTGTAGCAGGAACTCACCAGTACGATTTCTTTTATCCAGTTTCCTCAGATATCTAACATGTAATGAAAAGTGACGGAATCAAAGTTTGAAAGTTTACGAAGGAAAAAATACTGACTCTCTAAACACATTAAATGATTATTTCAGTTTCCTGAAAACAAAACCGTTTGAATTTAATTAGTGCGATGAGCAAAAAGTCACTTTAAAACAAGACCCGAAACTAATTAACATTTTACCAAATATTCAGGTTAAATTAACCAGTTTCATCAAACTCATCGTATTCAGCTGCAATTAAGTTGAATTTTAAAAACAGCAGAAAGTATTGTTCTGACACTGACAGTGATTTATGGAACAGACTGTAAACTACAGCTCCAAAAACATAAAATAAAATGTTTTAAAAAGATCATTTGGTATGGATTCTTATGATATTTGATACCATGTTAGTGAATGTCCAGTACTAGTACTTAAAATTTGCTTGATGATCTGAAATTTTTTTATGAAAAATGTGCAACAAACTAAGAAATCAAGAAGAGGGAAAACACTTTTTCACAGCACCCGATGTTTAGAAAGAGTGTCAGCATGCCATTATTCACATTTTCTGGATGCTATTAATGCTTTTCCTACTTTAAACAAGATTAATTTCAGGCAAAAATATCAGACAGACATTTATTCTAGAGTAAAAGATTACTTATATCGCAGTTTTACCTTCAAATGCATTCTAAAATGAGAACATCGTGAGCATATTTCAATGTTGTTCCATTTAGAAATGTGGAATTTTCTCACTTCTAGCTTGAATTTAAAAAAGTTTAGCTGCTCAGTCCATAATAAGGCAGTCCAAAGTTTGATGACATAACAGAAGACGCTAAAACGCTGGCAAAAAAAAGAATACTGTGTGCAAAGCTCTTGAGTGTCTCGGGTAAAAAAAAAAAAAAAAAAAAAATGGATGCCGTCTATTTTAAGTGGCAGAGTGGAAAGCGGAAAAAGAGCCAGGCGAAGTGTATTATAGCCATCGGCTGCTGAGGCCAGAGAGGTGAGCTCTGACGTGTCATTGGCTAACCTGACAGCAAGACAACAGCCACAGGGCAAACACCAGCACACTGGTTCTGTTGTCCACAGCCAGCTGAATACTAATCCTGCAGTCTGCCTGCTGCTGGCTTTTACTCCGGGGTGGGAAATGAAACCTGCTCACTAGCCAAACAGCATTTCATTTTCGCTATGACTGATAAGTTTTGTCCGCTGAACCACACACACTAATCAGCAGTTGCTCAGAGGTCCTATTCTGCCATGCACTTGTCGCCACTAAACCCTGCAGCGCTGCGGGTGATGGGACCCTTCAAAGAAAGGCTAACCTACCTGAAATAAAATGAGGACCTGAACATGTCACAGAATACAAATTTGGGTATAATGAGCAAGGTACCGTCCCTACACACTGCTCCCCGGGCGCCTGCTTAGTGGGCTGCCCACTGCTTCACTGAGTGAATGGGTCAAATGCAGAGAAAAACAAGTAATTTCCCCATGGGGATCAATAAAGTATCCATTATTATTATTATTATTATTATTATTATTATTATAATCTGTGCAGCTCCAGATCATTTCTTTACTCTCTGCTCTAACAATGGAAGCAGCGGTTATTTTCGGTACGAGGGCAAAACCAAATACGGTCTAAGAAAGCAGAATGAGAAGCATGCAACCAAAGCCGTGGGCTGCACTTGTTTCTGGACAGGGAGGGGTACGGGCCTGAGGAGCGGTCCTGGATTCAGAGTTCGTTTATTGAGGACCCTGAGCT